CTTCAACGTATGAAAGAACTGACGAATGTAATCAATCCAAGAAGACGTGTAGGGGTTGACATGGGGGCTTCTCATCCGGGATTGGTGAACCTCGTTATTTTCATACTTGAGGTAAAGTACAAGAACATTCTTATCATTCAACTTTAGTGAAGTTACAACCATCGTCGCATGTTCCCGTATTTCAATGTCGGAGCCCCGCTGCCACCGTGTGTCAAGTTTATGTGAGTTGCATGTGCCGGTAACTCCATCAACCACCTACGTCCTGTATTAGGCTAGTTATGTCCTAACCCTCAACAGGCTAACTACGCCCTGCCAGTTATCAAGTTACTAACCTCGTGTCCAGTTCCAGTGAAATAACTACGTCCTGCCCTGTATGAAGTTACCAATGTCGTGTCCAGTTACAGCGAATTAACTACGCCCTGTCCGTTATCAAGTTGCCAACGTCCTGTTCAGTTCCAGTGAGTTAACTACGCCCCTCCACGTATCGAGTTATCTACGTTCCTTCGGTAGTGAGCTACCAAATTCGTGTTCAGTTCCAGTGAAATACCCAGCCCTGACCCTCGTCAAGTCGCCAACGTCCAGTTGAGTTCCAGTGAATGAACTACGCATTTCCCTGTATCGAGTTATCTACGTCCTGTCGGTAGTGAGCTACCAACTTCGTGTCCAGTGAGCTGTGAAGTCCTGTGGCCTGTCCGGTCACTCAGTTTAACAACGCCCTGTCCTGTTGCAACGAGCCACCAACGTCCCACCCCGCATCAAGCTTCCTATGCCTGATCCTGTATTGGTGAGTTACCCACGAACTGTCCAGTGTCGGCGATACGCCTACATTCTGTCCAGTGAGCTGCCGATGTCCCGTGACCCGTCCCGGTCACCCAATTGAACAGCGCCCTGTCCTGCTTCAACGAGCCACCAACGTCCCGTCCTGCATCAAGCTGCACGTGCCCGATCCTGTATTGGCGAGTTTTCCACGAACTGTCCAGTGTCGGCGATTCGCCTACATTCTGTCCAGTGAGCTGCCGATG